TTTTTTTTTTTTTGTGCGACAGGGTTTCTCTGTAGCTTTGGAGTCTGTCCTGGAAACTCGCTCTGCAGACCAGGCTGGCCTTGAACTCACAGAGATCCTCCTGTCCCTGCTTCCCAAGTGCTGGGATTAAAGGCATGCATTACCACAACCTGTCTTAAATCCCCAGGTTTTGCTTTTAACTATTAATTCATCTCTTTAATTAGCTTCTTGAGAACAGGTGGCTAAGCCTGTGTTGTGAGCTCGACCCTAATAAGTCCATTAACATTGACAGCAGAATCTAAGCCTCTTGTGCGACATTGCACTGGGGTGCTGGGAAAGCTCCAATGAAGCTCTCTAGACCAGCAACCCCTTCACAGGGGTCATCAGAAAACCTAGATATTTGCATTATGATTCATAGCAGTAGCAAAATTAATTTTATGGTTGGGGTCAGCAGAACACGAGGAGCTGTAGGAGAGAGCAGCACCATTAGGAAGGTCGAAAACCTCTGCTTGAGATTATATCCAAGTCGAACACTGTGGTGGTGGGGAGTCAGAGCGGCTCCCGCCCCAATGCTTACCCGGTACCACATGAAGATGGTCTTGAATGCGTTCTCATTAGAGCAGGAGCCACAGGCCATGGTGATGAGCTGGGACATGCCTTTGGGTGCGACCTGCAGAGGGAGCTCACTATGAGTAATTTGGACCCCATTTCTGTTCCCGGGGCTGACTCTTCCAGCATTTGTGGGAGGTTGAGGGAAGCAGGGAGGGAGCACCATGGATACATCAGAAACAGCAGGTTAGAAGGGTGGGCTCAGTCTTTTTGGGGGGTGGAGAATAAGCCCGGGGAGATCTTTGAGGTCAGCAGAGAGGAAAGAAAGTACGAGAAACGTCAGTGGAGCCCAGTCCAGTGTGGTCGTGTACACTGGCTGGGACTACACAGTGACACTCTGTCTCAAGTGTAACAGTAAGGGGTATGTGTGAAACTGTCAGTTCTGTCTGTGTCTCCTGAGGCACCCGTACTTCAAAGATGCTACGCCGAGGTTCTCAGTGACTTTAATACCTCGGCCAGAAGAACTGGAAAGGTCACCAAGGATGACCAAATCCCTCACAGCAAGCTCTCACCACAGGACAAGTGCACATTTCCCCACACATTGTTCTACACACAAAATCCCTTCTTTCCTTCAAAGGAAAAGTTAAAACCTTCTTATGGCTGGAAACCTTCTTGTGGCTCAGTGGGTAGAGCGCTTGCCCGGCATGCACAAAGCCCTGGGTTCAGATTCCGAGCCCTGCATAAAGTGGGTATGGTGGCACTCTCCTGTGACACATAGGCCCAGGAGGATCAAAAGTTTAAGGCTATCCCCATAGTGAGTGGGAAGCTAGCCTGGGCTACATAGACCACACATTTGAGACCATTCTGGGCTATATGAGCCCTGTTTACACACACATACAAAACTATTTATGAGAGTCAGGTAAAAAGTCAGTCATTTCAGCAAAGCTGTCTCTTATCACCTCCTCCCAATGCATTTCTTCCTCCTTCCTTCCCTCCCTCCCTCCTTCCCTCCTTCCCTCCCTCCCTCCGTCCCTTCTTCCCTCCCTCCTTCTGTCCCTCCTTTTCTTCTTTTTTCTCTTAACTTTGAGACAGGGAATCATGGACCAGACAGCTACTGCATCAGCTGCCATCTGCCCACCCATCCTCCTTGGCTATGGACCTCATCCTTCCTTGACCCCGCCATGGCCACTTCTGAGGACAGACAGGCCGGAAGGGGGGCTACAAACCTGGGAAGGGTTATCCCGCAAACTCACCGACATCAAGGACTCCCGGAGCTTGTCAACAAAATTCTCTGGAGGCAGGATGCCCAAGGCAGGTCTGTTGATGAAAGTACTCTGTAAAAGAACAGCAGACAGATACATCAGCTCTCGGGGGCCGACCCAGGTTCTGTTCTACACGGTGCCTTTATGTAGTTGTGGGGTTCAAATAGGCTCTAAGTGGCACTGTGGGCTCATTGGTGTTATTTTAGTGTTTTGGGGTTCTTTTTTTTTCAGGGAGACAAAGTCTCACGTGACACAGGCTGGCCTGGAATTCAATATTGCACCTTAATTTTAAAAGGTGGGGAGGGATTCAGCCAGGCGGTGGTGGCGCACGCCTTTAATCCCAGCACTCGGGAGGCAGAGGCAGGCGGATCTCTGTGAGTTCAAGACCAGCCTGGTCTACAGAGCTAGTTCCAGGACAGGCTC